GTACACCTCCATATTTGTTGATACACCACCTGTTTCTCTCTTATCTGTCACTTCAATATCAACAATGACATCAAGAAATTGCTCCATTAGTAAATACACACAGTATTTTGCACAATGACCTGGAGAATCATTCCTTCCATCACCACACAAAATAAGCTGCTCGTTGGTCAATACTTTCCATATTTCACTTTTCATATCCTCCCAAAAGGATGTAATGGAAGGGATTATATAGTGCCTTTGCATCCTATTAAATGTTTGTCTTGAAATGAAATTCAAACCTAAAAACTTACTGAAAAGCATGTGCTTGTCATAATGGCCTCCAGAAAGTACCAAGCCAAGGGCCAGTAGCAAACTTGTGGAAAAGATGTCTTGGCCATTCTTTTGGCAGAGCACTTGTGAGGACACCCAGTACCCAGAATGGTCATTTGGACATTTCCAAGATACTTGCAAAACTCCTCCAGTGAGTTTGTAGTTGAGAACCTTGGACTTTTCAGCACAAGATTCATTTGGGCACTTATCCTCAAAAAGTGGTAAAAGTTTTGTTATGTCAACAATAACTCGTTCTTGCTGAGCATGCACATTATGTAGGTCACTTTCTTTGCCGACACGATTTAATGAATCAAACCTATCCTTCAATTCTTGATTTAGACGTTTGTCTCTTTCCTGTTTTGATTCAGGGCCATGCTGTATTTCAATCTCAATATCTTCTAATTCACTTATGTCCATAGGAGTTTCTCCCAGTGAGCCACATTCAGAAGCAGTAAGAGTTTCATCTAGATCACTGTCACTATTAAGCAAAAACAATTATTATAAATATTAATCATAGTCTTACATTTATGTATATATTAGTGTTATTTTATACTGAATAGGGGAGAAAAGAATCAAAGCAAAAAGTGTTTACTCACACACTACTGGGGGCCCTAATAATGTGGGTTTGTAACACATCTTGTTATAAGTCTGACATTGCTTACCGATGTCGAAGGTAATACAAATGATGCTAACTTCATATAGACTTCTGTTTGACGCGAGACCTAGAAAGGGATTTAACATGATTACAATATTATTGTGTGTAGTTGTGTGTTTACTTACCTTTCATCCTTTCCATCTACATCAAGCTCCTCACTCTCATTTTCAAGCTCCTCACTTGAACTAAAACTATGAAAAAACATTATTCAAATTATCGTTAACTCTAAAAATTTACCATACCAATCAGTGAATAACATAGATGGGCTTTCCCTAAACCTATATCTTGGCAAGGCAAAGCAATGGAAGATCATGACCAATCAGAAAATGAAGTTTTGGTAAAATTTGTATGACAATAAGTACCTTCTATCACTTTCATCATCAGAGCTATAGGTTGAGCTTGTACTTGAACAGTCTTCTGATGATAGTTCGCCCTCATGCATACCAAAATGTGGATTAATGCCCATGATGATACTATCTACCCTGCTAACATTCAGCTCAGACACCCCAGACATATTTGCAATTCTAAAAAGTCAGGATGTCACATATTAATAGTTTTGACACAAATAGGCATATTAATTCACGAAAACATATTATATACATACTCTGTTTCCACCTCACTACCTTCAACAATAGGCGACAAAGGCAACTGTGAGTGCATGGACACATGTCTGCGTATTGGAGTTGAAAACAAAGGACCTTGGCTCGCTACAACAAATATAATAAATGACATTTTTAAATATCCATAAGTGCAAACATATGTAGATAATTCGTTAATCCCGGTTCTTTATAAAAAAAATATGTAAATTATCGTACCTGTCGGGGAAACGGGTCTCTCAGGTGAAGTTTGAGTTTCGGTCGTGGCTACCGCTATTTCCATGGATTTTTGCAGCAAAATCTCTGCGAATTCACTGTGGGTTTTGTTGGAATAACCCATTTCGTCTTTTCTTATGTTCCACTGATGAAAAACGTCAGTGGCCAGCCTTATACGCGTAGTCTTGCCACCATAAACAGACGGCCTTCCACGTTTCGGGAGCGAAGCACCGTCAGATTCGTCCATTACAAACGTTTCGCAACAAAATAACACACAAATATATAATATATAATGCCTTACTCCGTTTAGAAATAAAAATAATACAGTTTTCAAGTAAAATTGAGATAAATATTGACCAATTTAGAAGATATTTCAGAGATCACTCATAAATATCCTGAGAGTCGGCCATTTTGTGGGACGCCAAGCGCGCAAGGTATCGCGGGCATGATACTCACTCTTTAAAAGATCACAAAGAAAATTTCGAAAACAATCCAAAATGCCGACTAATTAATCCCGCAAAAAGCGAATCCGGAAAACTAAGTAAGGTTATTTTAGATAAAATCAATTGCAATTTGAGACAAAAACTAAATTCAAATCAATGGAGAAATACACAACAAGTAATTTCATGGTTTGGCAATATAAACGATAAAGACAGGCACAGTTTTATTTCATTTGATATTGTGGATTTTTACCCATCCATTTCTGAAAAACTTTTAAATGAAGCATTGGCCTGGGCTTCTGAATTGACTACTATTACCGAAAACGATATTTCAATAATAAAACACGCAAGAAAATCTCTACTTTTCGGCAAATTATGGACAAAAAAAGACGGAAGCAACAGTTTATTTGACGTCACTATGGGTAGTTTCGACGGCGCTGAAATTTGTGAGCTGGTAGGCCTTTTCATTTTAAATCACTTAGGTAAGAGGTTTGGCAAGGAAAACATCGGCCTTTATAGAGATGATGGTTTGGCTATTATAAAAAGCAAATCCGCCCGTTTACTAGACAAAACTAGAAAAGAGCTACACAAAATTTTCGAGCAATTTGACCTGAATATCACCGCCGAAGTAAATATGAACGTTGTAAATTTTTTAGATGTTACTTTCGACCTGATCAACGCAAAACACCCCTTACGAAAATTTCCTATAGGAAATCAAAATTCCTATAGGAATTCCTATAGGAATTGAAAATGGTCAAAAAAATTCCTATAGGAATTCCTATAGGAATTGAAATTTCCTATAGGAATTCCTATAGGCATTGAAAATTCCTATAGGAATTCCTATAGGAATTAAAATTTCCTATAGAAATTCCTATAGGCATTGAAAATTCCTATAGGAATTCCTATAGGAATTGAAATTTCCTATAGGAATTCCTATTGGCATTGAAAATTCCTATAGGAATTCCTATAGGAATTGAAAATGGTGAAAAAATTCCTATAGGAAAAAATATTCCTGTAGGAATTCCTATAGGATTGGAAAATGGCTATAGGAATTCCTATAGGAAATAAAAAATTCCTATAGGATTTGAAAATGGTGAAAAAAAATCCTATAGGAAATAAAAATTCCTATAGGAATTCTTATAGGATTGGAAAATGGTGGGAAAAATTCATAGCCTATACCACTATGGCCTGATACATGCATGGGTATAAGAACTTTACTTATATAAAAAAATATACAGATAAATATAATTTACGAAATAACTCCTTCCTACAGGAATTTCTATTTCTTATAGGAATTTTTTCACCATTATCATATCCTATAAGAATTCTTATAGGAATTTTAATTTCTTATACAACTACCCTATTCCTATATCGTATTTTACTCATAGACATTTATTAATAGAGAATTTAATACTGGGACTATTTATTTTCTAAGATTAAATGAATAATTACCGCAATGTACGCGACTGACAGACTGGTGTCTAGTTTTCTTGCCACGCGCGCAAAGCATCAAGGGATAGATCATCACACCTCCGATATTTTTTCAAGTCAGTGTTTGTCAATGGTTTATATGCAAAATAGAACTATTTTTGATGGGATTCAACTGGATTTTCACTAGTAATACATCAGGGATGTTTGCATAATGTTCAGGTAAGAATAAGTTTATATTTTATTTATAATAAAGCAAATTATAGAGGAAATACCTCCAATCTTCATTAATTTGTGAAATTCGAGCATGTGGTTCGATAAAATTTGAATTTGCCGCGACAATATAAACGGAATTAGAATGCTGATATAAATATATTTATAGCATTTATACTTCAACAAATGCTACTATAAAAGTCTTATATTTCAATCAGACTTATCCATGTTTATTCACTCTCCTCCGCAGAGGCTTTGTAGATCTTTGTAGTTTGTTTTCTTTCTATATTGTAGTTTGTTTTCGTTCTATCTTCTATATATAACTGAAGTTTGACTTAGAGTTTGCGGGCAGTAGCGGGCTAGGTAGAGAAGTGGGCACGCGGGCGGAGTGAGCGCGCGGGGTTAAAAGGGGGCATCGTGGACATTTGGAGATAATAGGGAATCACACAACCAAGCTCGCGGGGAAAGACGGGAAGAGGGAAAAGAGAAAGGGAAGCCTCTGCCAAATAATGTTCGGTTCTCTGGTTTGATTTTCGGTTCTGTGGTTAACACACTATTTATGGCAGAAAACACACTTGAAATACAAACAAGCTACAAAGATCTACAAAGCCTCTGCGGAGGAGAGTGGGAACTTGATACATCTCTTCAAAACCTTAGTCTGGAAGGTAAGTTAAACGATTTTTGTACAAATTGGTGGTACATGATTTTTATATTGATTCTTTAACGCAGGGCTCGAAATAGCAGGCTGCCAATGGCCAAAAGCAGGCCATATTTTAGAAATGGCAGGTAAAAACAAATTTGAACTGCCAAAGTTAAAAAAAAATGGCAGGTGAAATTCTATAGATATATAGTTTCATTTCATTTGCTTTATACCACAACTCATATATACAAGATCATTTAGTCGACTAAACACATTTATATTTGAAATGTAAATCCAAGTGTACTGTAGTAAAATAGACAAGTTTAATTAAAAATACTAAAAATGCATGAAAACATTGATTTTTACAATATGACTCATATGAGACATCTCCATTTTGGCAGTCCAATGAATAAAAATGGCAGGCTAAAATTTATTTCACTTGCCAAAACATTTTAGACTGGCAGGCCATATTTTTTCTCTACTTCGAGCCCTGCTTTAACTGCTTGTTTTATCCATTGTTTATCTATTTTATAAAATCTGTTGGTTTGTTATATTCTTATATTCACATAATTCTTTCACTTTTGAGACTGTATCCCATCTCCGTGGATGTGGTACAGAACTTTCTGAACAACTTCGAGCATTTGTAGTTTG